AAAATCTAATTATAGGCTATTACTAGGACAGTCTGAGGGAAATGTTCGTTTTCCTCAAAAACTGCCGCTTTCATGAAACTAATTAAATTGACTAATTCAATTGACTGACTGCCTTTTCCAGTACAGATGTCTAGTATTTACACGAACAATGATTTTTCGACTTTTTTTTACTGCTGGTTATGGTATATTTTACTCCTCAGTTAAATGAATACCGTTAAATGTGTGACGTCATTTGAAATAGCACGAGCGCTCTCTCTCTCTCTCTCTCGTGCGCGAGATGGGTATATGTCGCGCGCTCTCTCTCTCGTAAATAAAACATTTACGCAAGTGCATATATCAAAGAAATATATATATATATTCAAGTAAAATTATAATCAATTCATTCAAGAAACAAAATGCATTATTTATTATTGCTTCTTGTTAATAGAAGCAAGGTCTCATCAAAATCAGTGTTCTCTTAAGTTTCATATTAATTATTTTTTACATTTTATTGTATATATTCTCTTCTCTCTTTTTTCAGTGTTGATTGTAATCTGATTGTGTAAGTGATCAATCTAGCAGTCATTCTAGATCTATGATTTATCATGTTCATAACATAAATTAAGTTGCAGTAAGGGTATTTCACTGTAAATTTAAATTGCGGTAAGGCCATCATACTGTAAAATGAAATTGCGGTAAGGGCATTATACTGTAAAATGAACTTGCGATAAGCTACTGTAAAGGGGTAGTTACAGTAACTTACTGGCAATTGTGCCGCCAGTAATTTACCGAAAAAATACGATAAAAAGTCTAACAGTGTATGGCGTGATTTATTTATTGCCATTTGAAATTGTGTGCATTGAATTCTGACTGTGGTTTTGGCACATGTAGCTGTTTGGGGGCTGCCTGGACACACAGCACTTTAAAGTCTCATTTCTGATGAGAGCAGTAAATAATTTAGGGCTTAAAGCTGCCATTAGCCACACTTAAACTCTGCTAATGCAGACCCCTGACAGCTGGCCTATCCCCATTGGATGGGACCATGGATCAAACAGTTCTGAACAAAATAATGGGCCACGCTAAAGCACAAAAATCTGTCAATAGGCATGTGTTGTTTTTGCTTCTGCATGTTTATTGGTTATGCTGTGGTATTCCCATTACACAGAAGGTTACATGGCTTATGACTTTAAATCAATTTAATGTTTACATGCATGTTCACTGCACATTAAGAATTTAGTAGAGGTACAGGATATTACAATTAAAAACAGTGACCCTGTGGCAGCCTTATATTGCATTATTTCTTGAGCATAGCGTTTAAATTATAATTGATAAATCTAATGATTCTGGATGTTTATTTTCAATCATGCTTTATCCTTAATGTGACAGTTAGGACCCACAATAAATATAGGCTACTGAGCTGTGTTTGTTCAGGTGAACATGGACATTTCACTTGCTATATAATGGTACTACCCTTAAAGGATAGTTCACCGATAAATGAAAATGTCTGTAATCGTTACTCACCCTTAAAGAGATCCAAACCTCTGTGACTTTTTTCTTCTGTGATATTTTTTTTGAAACGTCTTATTAAGCAATCAAAAAAACATGTAAAGTGAACTGTAAAGTAACTGAAAGGGGTCAAATAACATTCTAATAAATAACAATGACAAATTTGATCAGTTGAAAATCCCCCCTTCCCTGAATAGCTATAAATAACGATTTAATTCAATTGTAATTCAAAAACTGTAGTTGTATTCATTTTGCAGTTTCATTAACTTGATCTCTGGTAAAAGCTAGCTACTATTAACATCGCTGCACGGGTTTTATGCATATTTTTATGAGAATTTTGGGACATTTAGTATAGCTAGGCTATATCACAAAAAGTTTACCGCGTGATGCAACAAACTTTTTTCGCAAGAAATGACAGAAACATAGACTATAGTGACTGAATACAATTTTAGACGTGCATAAAAATCTTATGAATTTGCCTCAAGTCATTGACTGAAAATTTACGCTTAACAAGAGTCACCGTGGCTCAGTTGTTTGCACCAATTTCCCCAGAAGTGAATTTGTTTTTGTTCTCTTCAAAATATGAGATAAAAACGTAGATATCTATGGGTTAAAAGGCTATAAATAGTTTTGCAATATTTCCCAAAAGGGTCTGGCTGCAGCCTTGCACTTGCACTCTCAGACTTGCATTCTCAGACTTGCACTCTCAGACACTTGCGCTTCCTCTAGCGACGTCACTTGCAGTCTTTATTTTTTATTTTGTTCTATTTTTTATTACTTTTTGTTTGAATCTCTCAACATTTTACAACAGTAGCCAGGTGGTGAAGACAAGAAAAAAGAAACTAAATTACAATGTCACTTGCAATCGCCACTTGCACTCTCCGATACCTGCGACTTCACTCGCAATCGACACAAATCGTGCGTGTTGCCAATGGAGACAAGAAGCTGTGGTGGTGATTAAATGATTAAAACTA